TGGCCTTTACCTAATTGTGCAGGACGACAAGCGAGTTCAAGTACAGAAACACGTACGATTATTACCTAACTTTCCATTTCGTACTATGGAAATAGATATTTTGTTAATATGCATGCGTGCTCTGAAGATTTATTAGATTAATTGCATATTTACCGTCTTATTAATAAAATGTTAAACAACCGGCATGTACGTAAATTTGACCATTGATTTTCAGACTTTTTTTTACTGTTTATCTGCGAAAATATTACTTCGTGCACTGGGTGACAATGGGGCATCAAGCAAAACATTAAAACTTTTCAACTCTTATTGACGAGGTCGGTATCAATATGTACTCTATAAGGGTTCTGTATCAAATAAATTTGAGGTCCTCTCTGGTGTTCCGCAGGGTTCAGTACTTGGATCACTATTATTTAATATTTTTATCGATAATATTACAACAATTCTAACAGTACCATACCTTCTCTATGCAGGATAGTTTGAACTTACTGAATGTGTGGTGTCAGGAAAATAAACTTCCGTAAACATAAGTAAATGCACAGTTATGTCTTATTGTCGTAAAAAAGAAATTCTGAAATTTCCATATAGCATTTCTAACACGGTATTGACGAGACCTGAATATGTAAAAGACCTAGGTGTATTTTTTTATTGTAAATTAAGTTTTGACTATCACATAATATAAAATAATTTCTGAGGCTGTTTAAATTCTTGGCATTTGCAATGCCTATCCTCCAATTCGATATACTCCAGAATTGCTTCTTCGAAGATTTGAAGGCAATTCTCTACTTGTTCGTCGCAATATGCATTCCATAATATTTTTATTTAAAGTAATTCATCATATCCATGATGTACCCGATTTATTACATAGAATACATTTTATCATACCTAAAATCTTCAGAAATCAAAATAAAGAGTTTAAAACGTTCTACTTAAAAACAGCCAACAGTAATATTTTACATTATTCTCCTTTCTACAAGATCTGTAGAAGTTATGATCTACTGCACACTTTTATAGATATATTTAATTCTAATGTTAAACATATCAATAAAATTTGTTTGTCCTTACCCCCAGATTCTTAGTTTGTATTTTTTTGTATTGTAATATGTATGTATATGTGTATAAATTGTATTGTTATTCAAAAATGCATATTATATACTGGACATGTTCATTTGTGTGACATCTTATTTTTCTCGTTTTAATTAATTTTATTTTCTGATACAACTTTCATATATGCTTTTTTTGATTACTGTTTTACCTATATACTACGTATTTTTGTTGTATGACCTGTTTATATGTATATATATTTTTTTCCTTCTTCTCACTATCCTCTAATTAGGACGTGTTCCTGTTGGATAGCTCTGTCTAAATAAATAAATAAATAAATAGAAAGAAAAAAATTAAAAAATCGACTAACTATGAAACTCAAATAATGATTTACTAAGAAGCATTTTTTCTATAAGAATTGTTCCATCGAATCATTAACTTGAATAGCTGAGTAGGAATATCTGCTCTTACGAATGAAGATATGGAAATTTTGTATGTACTACATTTTAATAAATTAGTATTAATGTGAATGAATTAAGAAACTGTTAGTTTTTATTCCAGATTGCGAGTAAAAAGGCCATTCGATAATGTAAAAGTGACTTCTCAACTGTACAGGGGGAGTCAAAGCTGTGGCAAAGTTGATTTATCACTAGAATATAATTGAGGAAAAATATTTCAAAATAGGTTCCGGTGAGAAATGCACATTTAAAAATAATTTGACTTATACAGGGCGATTCGTTTTCGCAGGGCTGACCAAAGTTTTAGTTTTTTAAACGGAACACCCTGTATTTGAGTAGATATTTATAGTTTACAAGGATTTATGCAACTTTTTCGACATATATTATTAATTAATATTGATCGTTGCTGATATACCCGTTTTTTGAGATACAATCTAAGCAATCGTCACACATATTGTACTAGATTCACCGTAAATTCTGAAGTCGTCACTAACGTCATACGGAGTGTTCACAAAATCAATACAAATGTTATCTTTTTCAAAGGCAAAAATTTTGTTTTTTGTTTTTTTTAACTGGAAGTGAATGAAAGACCTCAAAATCTACAACTTCCATAATAGATGTTATACAGGGTGTTTCTAAAATAGGGTTCCAAACTTCTGCTGCGTTTATAACTCATTAAAATAAGCCAAAAAGTTCCTATTAACATGTGCCCTAAAACGCACCCTTAGGAAGTTATATACCCTTAAAAGGGCTCAAACAAAACTGTTTTTTTTGTTATTGACAAAACGGTCGCAAATAAATAGAAAAAAATTTATGGGTCTTACATAACTTTTTACGTTAAATAACATGGTCTACTCCGTTTTTCGACATGCAAATCATATGCGTCCCATTTAGGTTGGTGAAGGGGGTTTTCGGCCAGTAATTTTTTTTATTTCAATTTTTTTACAATTTTCTCTACAGATTTATAAAATCTTGACAATTTTACGGAAAAAATATTATCTTTGCCCAAATCGATATTTCCAATGGTTTTCGAGTAAATTGAGTTTGAAAATTACTCTGCTCTAAGTTATTAGGTTAAAAATTACAAAAATCTGTTTACCATGGCAAATAAAAGACTGACTTTGCCACAACGCTTAACAATTTAAGTTATTGATAAACTGTCAATTCAGCTTTGCAGTGTTCAATTAGTAAGAGTGGTGAGTGGAAAATTTAAGTATAAAAAACCATTTTGTTTGAGCCCTTTTAAGGGCATATAACTTCCTAAGGGTGCGTTTTAGGGCACATCTTAATTGGAACTTTTTGGCTTATTTTAATGAGTTATAAACGCAGCAGAAGTTTGGAACCCTATTTTAGAAACACCCTGTATATCAGTTCCTCATATTTTACGATATTTTTAGTAATTTCTTTATTTTTTATGAAAATATCCTAGGGAGGCATTAATATGGCAGTGAAACAAAAGAAATGTTTGTAACTAACTGTCAATAGTTTTTCCTGTCATTAGCTTTAACTGTTGAAGTTGCGCTTTTCTGTGATTCAAATAGTTATTCTTAATTAATTAATATTGTTTGTATGATTTTGTTCTTACTTGTTCGTAATGAATTTGAATTTCTCAAGAGAAGCAGCCGAGCCTATCTTGATGAGATTGATCCTATAGTCTGTATGGAAATGAAAGAGAGTAATAAAACCCCGAGATAAGAACCGGCCATGGGCGTGGTAATATTTCGTTTCAGGTAATTATCGGGTAACACTAATGCTAACAGGTAATGGGTGTACATTAGTATATTTTACTGGATACATCACATGGGCAGGAGCCAGTGTATTGTGACAGATCAATCTTATTCCTCCGGGGTCTGTAATTGTCATGGATAATGCCAGTTACCATTCACGCTCGCGAGCGGACGCCTACGACTGCTTGGAGGAAAGCTGATATAATTCAATGGTTATCCGGAAAAACATTTCTTTTGAAACAAATATGGTGAAAAAGGAACTTTTGACACTTGTCAATCTTAATAAAGATCAGAAAAATTATGTTATCAATGAAATGGCAACAAATCGCCAAATAACGGTACTACGGTTACCACCTTATCACTGTGAACTTAACCCAATCGAATTAGTCTGGGCGCAGGTAAAAGGAGATGTAGCGCGAAATAATACGACGTTTAAATTAAGTGACGTGAAAATTTTGTTAAAAAATTCCTTGGAACGAGTAACTGCAGATAACTGGCAAAGATGTATACATCATGTACAAAAAGAAGAGGGAAAATGTGGGAACTCGATAATTTAATTGACGTTACTGTGGAACCTATCGTTATCAATCTAGGAGACGAAGATAATTCATCAGAATATTCAGAGGATGAATTTTAATATACCTACTTTTTTATTTTCTTTATTGTACATTTATACAACACTACATTTACTCACCATAATTTGAATTTCCAAAATACATATATTTTTGTGTGGAATAAAAGTCTATTCATTAAATTTAAATAAATATTTTGATAATAATATTGAATAATTTTATTTGAATTACTAAAAACCCTCTTAACCCGGTTATGATGCTTAAAGTAGCCTCATGTTTTGAAATGCTGTTTTTATATTGTTTACTTATAAGAGAAATGGACCGAGCAATTGAAGCGGCATAGACAAAGACGGATTGTCGGGGATTAAATTTTAGCTACCTGCTACAATTTAGTACAACCCGGTCACATAAAGTTTTTTTAAAAGTACACCTCATCTATACCGATAATACATAATTTAAAAATATTGAATATAAGCACCAGTACTACATTTATTTACGATTTGCTTACATAATAAGCTTTTATTACTCTCTTTCATTTCTAAACAGACTATAATAGATGGATTTTTATACTAATTATAAATAAATATATTAATAATAATTTTACAAAATAATTAATCCTCTAATCAGTATACAAAATCCATAATTATATAAAAAGTATGAAAAAATAAAATAAATAAAAATATTGTTTTTTTTGGGGGTTGAGGGGGTTAAATTAATTTTGAAGGGTTAAAATAATTTTGACAACAATTTTTTATTGAGAACTATTATCTAAAACATTTCAAATTAAAAAAAAATACAAAAAGAAAATTTTTTTCAAATAATTCATATAAATGTTTCGATGCTATTGTTCTTGTTCTTCGATACCAGAAATAATTAATACAAAAAACGCATACTTGATACATACGATACATATTGAAATTGTAAATAATTCAGAAAAATATCCTGTATTCTTCCTGTTCTATTATCACCCTGTCAAAGATTAATCAAGTAAACTAAAGTGTCAACAGTTTTGATCATGACTAAATCGATTATGATTGTTTTTCTGTCTAAAAAAATGTTTGCCCTTTTCTTTTTAAAAGTTTTTTTTTAATTTAAACACCCTGTAATTTGCAAATGATCTAACTTTAGACTATCAAGCTGCAATGCAGAATGTATAAAATAACGCTTATAATAATAATCCAAAATAGTGTATAGGTACTTACAGTCCACTAGATTCGCACGAATATCACACAGACCACACCGAGATTGCACCCCAAGAACAAAGCACGGGCTCAGAGCCTACTCATGTCTTAGAAAACCGCCTTTCAGCCGTTTCAGCGCCGTCTTCGACGATCGCGCGCGCTGCTCGATTTTAAGCTGCTTCAGCGCCTGTTACCGTTCGCCGGTGTGCTCGCCACAAACGCTTACGAACGCCTGTACACCTTTATCGGCGGCGTTTGACCTTCCGCGGCACTATATGTGATTTTTCCCAAGTCGTCCGGTTGCCCAAGCGTTCCGGTGACCCTCGAGAACCGCAAATGTTTGTTGGGCAGTGCACGGAACCCGCCGACACCCTTTTTGGCGGAGAGGTTAGGATACGGGGGCAGCGCGAAAATTACCAGGACATGCGAAATTTGGGGGGAGTGGGAGAAGTTTTCATAACACTTCATCTCCGCACCCTGGAGGTTTTAAGGTTCTAGGTGATTTGAAACGAAATGAACTGTTTTCGCGATATTTGAGAGATCAAAAAAACGTTCCAATTGGTAGTTTGTATGAGAAATCTGAAGAAATCAGCAACAAACATATGTCAAAATTACCCACAATCTATGTAATACCATGTAATACAAGGTGGTCTAAGTTTTAAGGCAGAAACGCGACCACCAGTGGCGGAGATACCAGAAGTCAGTAGGTACCACTAGGTGCCTCAGAACTTCAACGCTTAAGTATTCTGCAAATTCGGTTAGTGATTTTTATTAACAATGGAATTTTTGAAAAAAATATATCTCATACTTCTCATTTATGGGATTTTTTTTTGAAACCTATAATTTTTATGTGCCCAAACTTAAAAAAAAATCATTAATGTACAAATTTTTTATATTCAAAGGGTACAGTTACTAAAAATTTCTGCTGATAACAACGAATGGTTCATTTTGATGAGAAAGTTTAAAAAATAAACAGTTAATATTAAAAATGAATGATTAACTGAAAAGACCTTACAAATATATGTTCTTATTTCAAGTTGAGAACAGCTAAAATTTTAAACAAGACAGGTTTTAAACGACAAATAAAATTTTGTTTTATGTTTTTTTGTAAGCATTGAAATCTGCCAAAACTGTTTAATTACAATAATTTTTTAAAATTCTGAAATTTAAACATATTAATAATACTGTGCAACAACCAAAATCGATATGGGATGAAGCCAAAAGAAAATGAAAGTTGACGCTCTCCATAACAAAACCCTCATGGGTTTTTTCTAGTTCAGTGATCGTTTTTTTTACACGCATTTGAAATTTGTGATTTTGGAAGGCTGTGTAGCAAGTAAAAATCATTAAAAATTTCATAAAATAATGCTTATTTATTTTTATTATCCTATAAATTTGTAGTATTTTACTGTTTTTGGGGTCGAGGAATCCATTTTTGCTATTTATTTTTACATGAAACTAACGCTAGATGGCGCTGTCATACAAATTTTGCTATTTTTTCTAGATTTTCATAGAAAAAACGATTTTTTTACTTTTTTTGAGGCTAAAAAATCAATTTTTGATGTTGGCTGTATTTATATTTATAATAATATTACAAAGTACATTTTATTGTTATCAGTATGCTACTATTAAAAAAATGGTTATTTATCTTAATAATATTTTTGTCTTTTTGGATCCGCTAAATCATAGTGATGATGTGAATTTCCATGTTTAACGTACCAAACGCTCCAAAAGCAGTAGATTGTGTGGTTGTTATTCATCGTCAGTATCCTCTTCATCGGTGGTTCTCTTTAACCACCAGCATAAATCTCCTAACATAGAATCTACCTTCTTTCCTCTATATCTAGTTTCCATGGTTAGAGCTATTTGGTGAAAACGTTCACTTTGCTCATTAGACTCGGTGGAAAGTTGGTTTTCAAACCAATCCATATGGTAATGGAGAAAATGAATTTTTAAAGACATATTCACACCAAGTTCATCAAAGGCTTGCAAGAGACGTTTACTCTCTGTTTACTATCTGCTTCTCGTTTTTTACCAAGAACGTTCCCAATTACGTCTTTTATTGCATTCCATGCAACTAATTGATTTTGATCCAAAGAATTGTCAAATTCATTACTTTTCATCAATCTTTTAATGTCTGGACCATTAAACATACCTGTAAAATTAGAAAAAAATATATTGTAAATACATTTTTTTGAATTATTTATTTTATTTGTATACAAAACCTTCTGTTAGTTTGCTAGCACTGAGTCGTGGAAATGTAGATCTTAAAGTAGAAAAATCTGGTCCATCCACAGAAAGCACTTTTACAAAATTTTTGAAAAGACCCAATTTAATGTGAAGTGGTAATACTTTATTTGTTGGCACAAGAAGTTCATGGATAACATTAGCTGTTCCAACACGAAAAACGTCTCTCTTTTCCCAGTCACTTTTTCGATATTGGTTTCCTTTGTAACGTGTGTTCCACAAGCATATAAAGCACATGTTTTTCGTATAGCCACCTTATAAACCACAAAGTACGGCCACCATTTTCAAATCACAGCATACACGCCATTTATGCTTCTCGTAGTTCTCCGATTCCAGTAGATATTTTACTGATTCGTAGGTTTCTTTAGTGTTCAAATTGTATGCTATTGGAATGCTCGATTTTTTGTTATTGTGGTATAATAAAACTGCTTTCATACTGCTTTTTGAAGAATCTATAAATAATCTCCATTTCTGAGGAACATACTTCATACCCATTTCTGCCATCATAAGTTTTTCAATATCATTACAGTAAACGAATGTATTTTCTTCGTTGACAGAGAAATATTGTTGAAATACTTCTTGACGATTACGATAAGTAGTTACTCTTACACCAGGTTGTAGTAAATTGTTTTGTTAAACAGCTTAGTTTTGCCTAAAATGTTGGTCTTTAATGAAATAATAAAAAAAATCACACTTCGCCGAGTCAGAGTTTGAGACTGCGTAATAGTAGCGTACTGATAACAATAAAATGTACTTTGTAATATTATTATAAATATATTTTACAATACAGCCAACATCAAAAATTGATTTTTTAGCCTCAAAAAAAGTAAAAAAATCGTTTTTTCTATGAAAATCTAGAAAAAATAGCAAAATTTGTATGACAGCGCCATCTAGCGTTAGTTTCATGTATAAATAAATAGCAAAAATGGATTCCTCGACCCCAAAAACAGTAAAATACTACAGCTTTCTGGGATAATAAAAATAAATAAGCATTATTTGATGAAATTTTTAATGATTTTCACTTGCTACACAGTCCTCCAAAATCACAAACAAATGCGTGCAAAAAAAACGATCACTGAACTAGAAAAAACCCATGTGGGTTTTGTTATGCAGAGCATCGACTTTCATTTTCTTTTGGTTTCATCCCATTCCGATTCCGAAAGTTCAATTTTGTGCCACAGAATAATCACACAGCCAAACGGCAAATAAAATTAATGTGTGATAAACTAGACCACAAATCCATTACGTTTTCGGGATCACTGAATCCGAGTCCGGCGTCGGTTTCTCGAAACTAGCTCATGTTCAATGTTATTTGAAGGTCTACTCTTGTTTTTTTACATGGTAATACAATTTTTGACCCGGAATCAGAAATAACGAGAAATTTTACGTTCGTAGCTGTGGTTGAGTAATTTTTTCACTTTCAAGGTCGTTTGAAGGTCTTTTGAAGGTTAAATCCACTTCTCTCGAACTTCTTAGGTTGGTGTATCAGGACAGCGAGATATTGGAAAATGACCTATACAGGCCGATTCAGTCATAATGTGTAGAATACGTATACTCGATTGAAAAAAAATTAGTATTATATTTGCAATATTTTTCAAATCGATATTTTCGATATTTTCAAATCATTATTTAAAGTCCTTTTCGAATCGTTCCTGACCGCTGACCCACAAAGGTTTATCGAGAGTTAATCTTCACCTACGTATTATTCGATCACTAACCTAGATTTTACTGCGTATTTAATACGTAGTGAACGACAAGGAGAAAACAGATCTTTTTACTTAGACGCACGAGTGAATAAAACATGTTCTTTACTTTTACATATTAAGAAGTATTATTTATTTGTTAATAAAAACAAATGCATAAAGATAATAATTGTTTCGAATGTTAGGTTATTACAGTTTAGAATTTTTACGTTGGCGTTTTCACTATGTTTTATAATTGAATATGAGTTTTTAGTATTATGGTCAATCAATTATTTAGGTACTAGTACGTATACCTAGTGATTTTTTGCTTTTCATATGGTACCTACCTATTTACAATGCTAGTACGGTTAAAACAACACTCATTGTTAATAACAACGCACTTTGTTAATAGAGTTGGGATCCGCTGCATTTTGATTTTAAAGCCAATTGAAAAGTTCAAGGCGACTGGGGAAATCAGCTGTTTCGCTTCAACGTTCGAAGTTCGAACGCTTTGCGAGCCCCCGACACGTTTCCATTCAGAAAATGCGATGCTGGGTAAGGTGCCGAATTAACGGAAGTTAAGGGCGCCATATTCTTTAAATAGTGTTTTCCACAAAGACAAATAATTTCAAACATTTAATAACTAAATAATCTAAAGCTTATCAAATAATAGGAATGTTATGTCATGCTATCTGAGCATTTTCAAAGACGTCACAGTAAAACGAATAAACAGGTGCAACACGATCAAACCATCAAGGTTTTAGGTACTATCTACGAAAATACTAACTTTTTTATATATGTATAACTCCACATGTAAATATTCTTATAAGATTTACTTGCTTAGTCCTACATATAAAATTGTTTACTTTTATTTACAAGTACGTGAAAATAATTCTTAAAATGTGGGGTTAGGATAACAACAAACGCATGTTTTACAAACGCTTTTTTTAGTTATTATTTTATTTGAGTAAATTTAAATAGTAACAATGAATAAATAGAACATAGAATTTTATTTTTGTGCTTACTTTTGTTCTAAACGTTTTACTTTTCAAGATTTCAATACCACGCCAGAAAGACTATTTCTCGACGAGGATATGGCCACCTTAAGGAATAATTTGCTTCGTTTTAAAGGGCCGAGTAAATTTCTTTTTCAATTTTCTGTCTTTATTAGGCCTTCCGAATACGTGGTTAAA